TATTCTAAGTAGGCTTTTACTTTTTAGTCTAATGGGCTAGCTCAGCCCTATGATTTATATTTAAGTCTGAAGTTGGGCCGGTTTGCAGTGTTTGTTTCTACATAAAAAAAAAAAAGTGGAAGGATGGGTTTGTTCTGTGTAAAAGCCCAACCCAATGTCCTTCTGTCCTAATCATGGTTTTAAAACCCGGCCCGACCCGGCCGGTTGAACCGGTTGAACCGGACCCGGACTTAAAAACGGGCCGGTTTCATGCACTGGCCCGGTTTGCAAATTGGCCCGTGTTAGCCCGCCAGACTCGTTGGACCTGCTCCAAATGCCCAGCCCGTCCCACCCGCCGGGCAGAATAATTGATGCGTTGATTAACCCTTTTTTTTTTAATGTAATTTACTTATTTTACTTTTTTTTAATGATATTATATTTAAAAATCTTAAATTTAAACTAAAATTAAATTTAAAAAACCCAATCAAAAGTAACATTTTGTAAAAACACATGGAAAAAATAGAATTAGAAAGTAGAAGAAACACATCATCCACCGGCCATCCCTCTCCCTCATCCCTGCTCCATCTCCGTGCCATGACTCCATCGGCATCTCACCACACCAATCACCGCCTCATCACCTCCGACAAAGCAACCTGATCTCTGCACCACTTCCGTCAAGATCTCACCACCAGTCACCGCCTCATCTAGTCATCTTCACCGCTGAACAGAAGCAACTAAGCAACCCGATTTCCCTGCACCTTCGTCGGCAGCTCACCATTGCTCCACTTCCGTTGACAGCTCCTGATAAAGCTCACAGCCCCACTACTCATCTTCCTCTCCTTCACCGGACCAAACAGAAGCAACAAAGCATAACAGATCGTCCCTGATTTTGCCCAGATCTCGGCAGCTCCGCCACTCATCTTCCTCTCCTTCACCGGATCAAACAGAAGCGACAAAGCATAACAAATCGTCCCTGATTTTGCTCAGATCTCGACAGCTCCGCCACTCATCTTGCTCTCCTTCACCAGACCAAACTGATTTTGCCCCCTTTCATTACTGAACAGAAGCCGCAGAAAATGTGAAAAAATGTAAAAAAAAAAATGTCTTTAGTCAACCGGTTGAACCGGTCGGGTGAACCGATTTAACCGGTTGAACCAGACCCGCTGGCCAAAACGGGTCAACCACCGGGCTGGGTTCAAAAACATTGGTCCTAATAATCTCTTCTCACCTAAAGCTTCAAGTACTAAAAACGAGCTTGAGATTTCTTATAGGCCCATCAGAAACTTCTTTTTTTAGTATTTATGGTAAAAGTGCTTCTAAATTAACTTTTGCATAACTCGTGACTAATTTCTTCCCGCTGATCTTAATAGCATACTCCCACGATATAAAATGGTGCATTCAAGAAACTAAATAATATGACCATACGCCGATAGCTAGCCCGTCCACAACAATCGAATAATCGTTTTAAATCAATACATATGGAAAAGCCTAGGCTCGAGATCAAAGCTTAAGCCCGACCCATTTGTTCAATAGGTCAAGATTAATTGATTTGTAAGTAGCTCACTGAATTGCTCTAACTCATTCATAGCCTTAATTGTAATAATATTCTTTTTGGACGACATTAATTGTATTTGTATTATTAAAATTGTTAACTTGTTATAATAAAATTTATTTTAATTAATATTTTATATAATATTTTAATAATAATACAATGTACTGAAAATTTTTAAAAATATTTTCCAAACACTAACACAGGTTTAACAATGGAACAATACCAACGAGGGGTTGGATCAAGTGGTAAGCAGCTTGTTTTAGCTTAAGCAAGATTTCAAGTTCGAGACCTTGTGTATGCAGCAGCCTCTGTTGGGAGACTCACCCATCAGTTTCAGGTGCGCGACGCGGATCGATTCGGATTAATTGGGGTAAAGCCCTGGATACCGGACAAGAAACCAAAAAAAAAAAAAAAACAATGGGACAATATAAACAATTATACAACAATATGAAACAAAGCCTTGATTACCTCCCCACGAAAATTTTAAAAATTGGCAATGACTTACCTATTTTTTAAAAAATAAGTAATTAATGATAAGCATATAATTTAATCTACAATTTTTCTTTATAACTTTCACATATTAGGTTCTAAAAAAATTAAAAAATAATTATTTGAAAAACATATATAAAGTAGTATAAAAAAAGTTTATACACAAATTATGACTAAACTACTTTCCTTCAAAAATCCAATGTTGATCAATAAAATGGGATTTTATTTAGAATCCATTTGCCTTTTTACTTTCTAATTAGGGTTAAAGATTTAAAATCTGCATCAATAATTTATTTATCTTAAATTATATGGTAAAAGGTAATTACTTTTTATTTCTTAACTTCTTATATTATAAATTATGAAATTTGAATTCGAAATTTTTATTTTTATTAAAAAAATTATTAATAAATTATTTAAGCTGTTAATACTAATAGATTAAAATATTAAAAAAAGGTTTTTCTTTTTCTTAATTGTGAGATTGAAAAGTTATTGTGCAGTAAACAGACAGCATTTGTGAGATTTTGTGTTCGATTAAATAAACGTCGTTTTCCTTTCCTTTATTTTCTTTTGATTTCCAACAAAAACGAAACAGAACACGATTATTACGGATGCGACAGATATTGGTACCCACAGAGGGCAAAACAGCTGTTCTATATATTCTATTGGCAATTGGTGGAACAAAATTCAATTGATTTCAACGTGCCTTTAGAAATTCACACTTTCAACGGATGCAAACAAATTTTCTGTTTTCAGTCAAAGACGCATCTGTAGCTTTTTTTCAAAGTTATTTATAACTTTTTCAAGTTTTCTTCTTCCTTTGGTTGGCCAGCAAAGTGGTTACTTCGCCATTCAGTAAAGTTGGCATTCAATAAAATTCTTTACGTTAATATTGAACTTGGGATACAAGTTGCATAAAAAGTTTTAGCTTAGGAGATAACTAAATGGTTGAGTTTTTTTAATTTAAACTATATTGAATTATAAAATAAAAATTACTATATAAAAAATAAGTCACAACTCTTAATATTAAAATTAACCTTTACCTCCATCCAATTATATATAAGTATTATAAAATTTAGTGCAATTTGAGTTGTACAACATAATTTTTTTAAATTTTAAATTGTTATTTCTTTTTTGCATTATTGTGTGAGGTTGATCTTTATTAGTTGGGTTTCTAAAAATATTAGAAAGAATAGTGTTTTAGAATTATATTATTTCAATAAAATACCATAAAAAACAAAAATGGTACTTATTTTTATTTTAAAAATAAGTTATTTTAGATTTTTTCAATAAAATTTTATTGAATATATGTAGTTTTATAATTTTTTTCTCCTAACTTTTTATAAAAACTCAACTTACAAACATTTTTCTCTTATTATATATTATATAGAATGAAAGTTACCGAACACAAGGGTCTTGGAAGCTTCAAGAAAAAGTCTATATTGAATTAGTTTATCAATTAACTTTTTTTTTAACATATGCTGATCTTGCATTTTTTGCACATAAATGGCATCTTCTTGATTAAAGACTACTAATGAAATTAAAAGTTGAAGATGAAGATTAATTAATGATCATGACTCTTTTAAGGTAGGTCGACCGGTTTTTATGTGATTATTATGTCCTAGCAAATTTTGCCCTTGCCATTTAAGTTTTTTCTTCCTTTCATACTTGAAAGGGGCCTTTTTTATGTGGGATGAGTAAGACATGGAATAAAGTAGCAGAAAGTAAAGTGGCGTGGCTTACGTGTAACCCACAAATCAGAACGCTGCACAGAGATTTGCTAACCATAGCATGTGCTGCTGAGGTGGAAAAGAAAAGATGTGTGTAAAGAAGCCCTCACGAATCTGACTTCAAATTTTCCATTACTTTCCCAAGAAAAAGAAAACCAGAGATTCACTTATATTACTTTTGATAACTTGATAAGAGCTCTCTCAAGATCCCTAGAAAGCTTCTGCTTTAAATTTTGCAACCGTGAATGGAGACTTCATTGGTTAAATGGAGACAGTGCTTGCATAGTGCAATGCACTAATTTCCCCTCACCCACCCATCAATGGAAAAGCATGAGAAGAAACTTGGAAAAGTTGAAAAGCAAAGGAGAAAAGGTGATAAAAAAGGAAGAATCCAATGAATGAATGAGTAATATTGTTTTGTCCCCGAATGGATTAGGAAGAATCCAATGAATGAATAAGTAATATTGTTTTGTCCGCGAATGGATTAGCAAACAACCAAGTCCCCTGTGCCAGTTTGTTCACCCCTAAGCCAAAGAGTTTGGAAGCATGGGGGTGAGATAAAAATTACCCTCTTTTTCAAGTTTTTCCAGGTTGAAAATAATAATAATAATTAAAAATATTATAAAATAAGAGGAAAAATGACAAGACGACAAATGAAAAGGGGAGAGAGTTTTTTATTTCACCAAGTATTCTTCCATGTATCAACATACAAATTTGTAGGCCTATATATATAGGCTAAGGGACATAAGAGGTTACATTTGCCATTGAATAAGACTAAATGACACCTTAATGGACTCTTGAATGGCACCTTAATGGACTCTTGAATGACACCTTAATGGTCCTTTGAATGGCCCTTTGAATGGCCCTTTGAATAACCTTTAGTGGGATTAAGAATGACCCTTTAATGGTGAGGAATGAACCCTTAATTGTGAGGTGTTATAATATGAAAAGATGAATGTAGAGGTGAAACATCCACTGATAAAAAAAATTCACAATAAAAAAAATTATTTTTTCCTTGTTAGGTCATGATGGAACTTATTTTTTTTTTATCAAACTATATATAAATAAATTAATCAATAAAAATTTAAAATAATTGATACCTATAAACTAAAAAACCTTAATTTAGAATTAAAATTAAGAATTTAATCCTCTATTATGTAAGAAACTAATCATTCAATGTAAAAAAATAATAAATGAAAAACTAAAATTGAGTAACTTTCATGTAATGGTAAAATCAAATGACGGTTAGTAGCCGCCTCTGTGTTGTCTCAAAGCGATTGCTTAAGCAGTCTGGAAACTGAGAGGCTGAAGGCAAATTAGTTGTGCAATTTGCAAAGCGAAAGGAATCATATCATTATAGCATATACATTGTTAAAGCTCTTTTAGACGTGTATAATGGGGTAATAATAAAGCTTACTTTAGTGTCAAATAATCATAATTAATATATATTTTATATAAACAAATAATTTTATATATTTAAACTTTTAAATAAAATCTTTAACAAAACACTTTTTCTTTAACACATAGAACGTTTTTAAAAGCCATATAAATATTATTTTATTTAACTTATTTTTAAAGATAAAGAAATAAGAGTAGAAAGACCAACTTTGTTTTCAAAATGCTTCAATGGGAGAGAACAATAGTAAAGTTCTTTCTATTCTATTTTTAATTAGAATAATGAAAGACAACTTCCATCATACATGCTCTTATGAGTTTTTTTCCTTAATAGAATGGTAATCTACCAAAAAAAAAAAAAAGATTGGTAATTGATTTTTTTTATATATATATAAAGAAATATTTCAATGTTAGAAGTAACCGATCACATTCACTAAAAACTAAAAACAGTAAAGAAAAGACCAAACAAAATTAGCTTGAGGTACCAATTCAAAAAAACTTACCTAAAATTAATCCAAGGAAATATTTGAGTTGAGGGAAATAGATGAGAAATTAAAGAATGAGAAGAAAAAAAAATTTTATTTGAAGAAATTGAAAATCGAAACGTTTTAATATCTAAAATGTCAAGATTTTTTTATAAAAATTGCTTTAAATATTTTTAATGAATCTTTTTTACATATTGATTTATTAACTGTATTTTAATTTTTTTTTTATTTTTAATATTTTAATTATCAAACGACTTAATTTTTTTTCTTAATCTCTTGTCATTTAGATTGAGGATGTAATAAATGTATCTTTTTGTAATAAATTTGTGTTGAAAAAACAAAAATTGACATTTAATTTATCAACTATATAATTAAATTCATTTAACAATAACACTAAAATTAATGTCAACTTTTACTGTTATATATATTTATGATAAAAAAAAAACCTTTAACATTAATTCTTAAATCATAAGTTAGCCTAGGTTTAATCCAACAACAACAGTGTTATTGGGCCAAAGATTGGTAATTAATTAAGAGTTTTTATATTTTATACTCTTATGGTACATATTAAAAGTGCAATAGATATATTTTTAATAATTAATTTTCATTGAAAGTGTAAATACTAACATCGGTTTAATCAATTAACCAATTAAAGTAATTTATATGTTAATAGTGTTAAAGTATTTGTCAACTTTCATAAATTTTTATATGAATTAATTATAAAAAAATATATTTATTGTATTTTAATCTATGTATTTAAAGGATAGATTATACAAATCTATTAATTAATTAGTAAATAATGAAAAAAGTGGAATAAATGAT